ATCTTGAGGGCAACAGGGCCCCCTAAAGTCACGGAGCCTAGGGCAGCTGCCCCGCTTGCCCCACTTTAAAGACGGCCCTGTAAAGTAAAGACCACCAAAGGATAGTGAGGCAGGGGTAGTGGTATTAGTGGGCAAGATCTATATTTCAGTTAGTGCAAGTAAATTTAGGGAATGTGATATGAATAGGTCATGGATAGAAGTTGATTTAATGATGCAGCACACAGAGCGTGCATTCCAAAAGGCAGCTTGAAAAGAGGACTTAAAGTGAGCGTTACATGGGATGGATATCAGATTTTTGTTGTTTCTGCTGTTAGTACAAGATAGGTTAGTGGAGGATACCTTAATTATATTGTACATTGGGAAATGTATATACAGAAGGTACATGTACATACATTAATATGCCAGACTTAGAGACTAAATCAGCTAGCCTCCTATACTGTAATAATCTAAAAAATTTAAGAAAGTGACCTCTGTGACTATGAGATAGCACCTAAACTGGCATATAGGGACATCAACATTTGCCAGTAGCTTACTAAGTAATAACTGAAATTTTTTTTCTATTGATTACCTAAAGGATACTGGAATATAATACAACGTATAGAAGAGTAAGAAGCATACATTGTTGAATCGTAAGTGTTAGTAAAGCATAAGGGGAGACATATCTTATACAATCTCTTCATAATACATATATATACCATTTTGCTAAATTGTATTCATAAAAGTAGATCAAAGTACGTTCTGGCTTAACCCCAGGATTTGGGTGTATAATTTGCATATCGAATAACCAGTAATGATGTTGTTGAGTAACGTAAACTAAAGCAGTTGTATATTTTATATATTTTATTAACAACTGAACATAAATATTAGAATTTTAAATAGTACGAAAACGAGTATAAATTGATAAGTAATGAAAATATAACCAGGGCAGTCTAATCTTGGGTTAGCCTCCTATTTATGATACGATGTTTATTCTGGACCGGCTGCAGAGGCTATGAATGTGTTTTTTCAGGAGCACATGGCGCTCATTGCCCTGATGAGATTATCCATACCAAATCACCTTCCCAGATAGTTTACTCAGTCACAACTCACATGAAAGAAGATCTGGCGATGTTTATTCGTCATACGATCTGTAGAATGTGCAGTCACAACAGGTAAAAGAACGATTCTTCCATACAGGTTAGGAGAGATACAAGTCACATATGAATGTACAGCATAGAAAACACTAGAACAGGAAAGGGGGAGGGGAGTACCTGAAGCAGCATGCAAACCATTGAGTGGCACAAGAGACAAACTTAAGATAAACATTAAAGAAACAGTACATTATAATAAAACAATATCATGTAACATGACAATGTTAGATTTGAACCGAATGATATTGAGATAATCCAAACTGATTATTTTCGTAATCTTTTGTATGAAACTGTTCCCTGTTGTAAGCAAGAGGAGTTAAATTCCAAGTCATGATTTATGATTCACGGTGACGTTACGTGTAGTTTTTTTTTCTGCCGACTATTACTTTTACTTTAAATGCTCTTGTACCAGGTTTTGTTATTATCTCCATTGGAATAAATAGGGAAATACTTAAATCCTGGACTGTTGGTGGGCCATGAGGACTGGTTTGGGAACCACTGCCGTAATATATTACTGCCCACTAAGGGGCCCTTTATTCCCATTAATGTTTCAGAGTTGTACTTTTGTGTAGGGAAGTTGAATGTTTATACCCTGTTATATAATGTGTCATAACACGTCTCCATAGGTAAAAAAACTGCAAGGAAAGCTTTGTAGGCGGTAAAACTCTCAGTAAAACTGGGTTAATGTGACCATGTCTCTTTACAGGTAGAATTCACAGTGAAGACACATTCTGCACTAATCAGGTAGGATTCATCCAGGTAGAAGAAGGAGGTTCTGTCACCATCCCATGCAGCTTCAGTTACCCCAAGGAGGACTGGGACAAATCAGAGATCACAGTGCACTGGAGAAGTGGAGAAAACAGTCCATGTGGGCGGAATGAATTCATTTACAATCACACAAAACCAAAACCATGGACTCATGAAAACTACACAGGGAGAATCTCCATGGTGGGAGACCCCATCAGAAATAAAACTGCTTCAATCACAATACAAAACTTGAATAAAAAGGATGGTAGAATGTACTGCTGTAGATTGCAATATAAAAATCATCAAAACAAAGACAAACAATGGCAGAACCCTCCTGGGACTTTTCTGAGGTTTCCTGTTACAGGTAATAACACACTCATAACTCTACTGTTTGATTCACCCTGCAGGCGGAGGGACAGACTCATAGCTTCTTCTGTCTGTCTGTCACTGTGTCACCCTGCAGGGGGAGGGACAGACTCATAGCTCCTTCTGTCTGTGTCACTGTGTCACCCTGCAGGGGGAGGGACAGACTCATAGCTCCTTCTGTCTGTGTCACTGTGTCACCCTGCAGGCGGAGGGACAGACTCATAGCTCCTTCTGTCTGTGTCACTGTGTCACCCTGCAGGGGGAGGGCCAGACTCATAGCTCCTTCTGTCTGTGTCACCGTGTCACCCTGCAGGGGGAGGGACAGACTCATAGCTCCTTCTGTCTGTGTCACTGTCTCACCCTGCAGGGGGAGGGACAGACTCATAGCTCCTTCTGTCTGTGTCACAGTGTCACCCTGCAGGGGGAGGGACAGACTCATAGCTCCTTCTGTCTGTGTCACCGTGTCACCCAGCAGGGGGAGGGACAGACTCATAGCTCCTTCTGTCTGTGTCACTGTATCACCCTGCAGGGGGAGGGACAGACTCATAGCTCCTTCTGTCTGTGTCACCGTGTCACCCTGCAGGGGGAGGGACAGACTCATAGCTCCTTCTGTCTGTGTCACTGTGTCACCCTGCAGGGGGAGGGACAGACTCATAGCTCCTTCTGTCTGTGTGACTGTGTCACCCTGCAGGGGGAGGGACAGACTCATAGCTCCTTCTGTCTGTATCACCGTGTCATCCTGCAGGGGGAGGGACAGACTTATAGCTCCTTCTGTCTGTGTCACCGTGTCACCCTGCAGGGGGAGGGACAGACTCATAGCTCCTTCTGTCTGTATCACCGTGTCACCCAGCAGGGGGAGGGACAGACTCATAGCTCCTTCTGTCTGTGTCACTGTCTCACCCTGCAGGGGGAGGGACAGACTCATAGCTCCTTCTGTCTGTGTCACAGTGTCACCCTGCAGGGCGAGGGACAGACTCATAGCTCCTTCTGTCTGTGTCACTGTCTCACCCTGCAGGGGGAGGGACAGACTCATAGCTCCTTCTGTCTGTGTCACAGTGTCACCCTGCAGGGGGAGGGACAGACTCATAGCTCCTTCTGTCTGTGTCACCGTGTCACCCAGCAGGGGGAGGGACAGACTCATAGCTCCTTCTGTCTGTGTCACTGTATCACCCTGCAGGGGGAGGGACAGACTCATAGCTCCTTCTGTCTGTGTCACTGTCTCACCCTGCAGGGGGAGGGACAGACTCATAGCTCCTTCTGTCTGTGTCACAGTGTCACCCTGTCAGGGGGAGGGACAGACTCATAGCTCCTTCTGTCTGTGTCACTGTGTCACTCTGCAGGGGGAGGGACAGACTCATAGCTCCTTCTGTCTGTGTCACTGTGTCACCCTGCAGGGGGAGGGACAGACTCATAGCACCTTCTGTCTGTGTCACTGTGTCACCCTGCAGGGGGAGGGACAGACGCATAGCTCCTTCTGTCTGTGTCACCCTGCAGGGGGAGGGAGGGACAGACTCATAGCTCCTTCTGTCTGTGTCACTGTGTGTCACCCTGCAGGGGAGGGGACAGACTCATAGCTCCTTCTGTCTGTGTGTCACTGTGTCCTGGGGAGGGACAGACTCATAGCTCTTTCTGTCTGTGTCACTGTGACACCCTGCAGGGGGAGGGACAGACTCCTAGCTCCTTCTGTCTGTGTCACTGTGTCACCCTGCAGGGGGAGGGACAGACTCATAGCTCCTTCTGTCTGTGTCACTGTGTCACCCTGCAGGCGGAGGGACAGACTCATAGCTCCTTCTGTCTGTGTCACTGTGTCACCCTGCAGGGGGAGGGCCAGACTCATAGCTCCTTCTGTCTGTGTCACCGTGTCACCCTGCAGGGGGAGGGACAGACTCATAGCTCCTTCTGTCTGTGTCACTGTCTCACCCTGCAGGGGGAGGGACAGACTCATAGCTCCTTCTGTCTGTGTCACAGTGTCACCCTGCAGGGGGAGGGACAGACTCATAGCTCCTTCTGTCTGTGTCACTGTATCACCCTGCAGGGGGAGGGACAGACTCATAGCTCCTTCTGTCTGTGTCACCGTGTCACCCTGCAGGGGGAGGGACAGACTCATAGCTCCTTCTGTCTGTCAATGTATCACCCTGCAGGGGAAGGGACAGACTCATAGCTCGTAAAATAAAATATACGCTCGTATGCACATATACAAGGTTAGTGTGCCAGGGTTAGAGATGTTAGTATGGTAGGGTTAGGAAGGTTAGGGAGGTTAGTGGGGCAGGGTTAGGGAGATTAGTGTGGCAGGGTAAGGGAGGCTAGGGGGTTAGAGAGACAAGGTTGGGGGGCTAGTAAGACAAGGTTGGGGGGTTTGAGAGACAGGCTTAAGGAGTCTAGTAAGACAAGATTAGGGGGTTAGAGAGACAGGGTTAGGGGGTTAGAGGGTTAGTGTGACAGAGTGAGAGGAAAATACACAGACTTTAAACACATTTAATATATTTTGCTTTGCCCCCCTCCTGCTTATCTGCTGTGCAGGTAGGGGAGGCAATAATTAATGTCATGGTGGTCCAGTGGGTCTCTGTGGTCCAGTGTGCTGCTGGTTCAGTCGCTGGTGGTCCACTGTGATGCTAGTGAACCCCGTGGTGGTCCAGTGTGCCACTGGGGCTGCCGCTCTCCCTCGCGGTTCCGGCGCACTATGATGAAGTAGAGCGCAGGCTGGGAACCTGACGCCTGTGCTCTAACACTCACAGTGTGCCGGTAATGCGAGGGAGTGCAGCAGCCCCAGCAGCACACTGGACCACCAGGGAGTTCGTTACAGCTGGCAGGGAGATCTTTGGATCTCCCTGCTAGCTCAAGGAAGGGGGCTCGATCAGAGCCTTCAGGACTGTTAATGGGAACGGCATTCCTGCTGTGTGGAAAGTGCAGAAACGTGGTTCCCACACGTTCCTGCAGGACTCGGGCCATATATATATATATATATATATATATATATACTTATTAAATGTTATAATGTTTAAATATAATATAGAATCATAGAACCAAGGCTTCCTCTGTTTATCTGTAGATAGATCATAGACAGATAGATAGATAGATAAATTACAAAATGTGTTTGTGATATTATTCTACACATCCTTTCATACAGCTATAATCCTTCACAGCTGGATTAAATCATGAATCCTTATCCCATATTTCAAATTCTCACTCTACCGTAGGCATGATTAGAGTTATGGATGCAACGACTGTTTATAATCTTTTATCTTGCAACTTCCTGTAAAACTACCTCTTATAGATTTTTATTCTATATTTCATTAACCTCTATCTATACAGTATCAGACTGTAGTGACTGAATATTGCTGGTGGTCACCTGTATATGTTATGCAGAAATTATCATATCATGTATCAGAAGTCATATCATAGTCATCATCAGTTTGATAATGCAAGCCTCCCCACTGTCCCACTTTCAGCAAGACAGTCTAAGTTGTAGGATCCTGCCCACTGTACTGATTTAGCTCCTTGATGTCCCTCTTGTGCTATGCAGTAGGAACTAGAGCTTCAACAGCCTTCTCTGTATGGTCTGCAGATGCGTAGAAAGGTGACTGGGGGCAAGTCCTTTACTTGTGCCAGCCCAACCTGTTCCATGCCATGAGTGTAGATGGGTGCAGATGCCCCCTCACAATGCTGGACCGAAAGGATTTTTTCTCAGTGATGCATCCATCAGAGGTGGAGACCACAAGCCCCTCCCATTGGACCACCAGGGAGCTACATATTAGAACCCAATGGGCCACAAGGAAGCAAGGCTATGGTCACCAGGGCGTGGGACTATGATCTCAAGGGAATCAAGATCATAAAACCCCCAGGTCAATGGTAACAGGGGGTAAAAATGCATTTTTTTTTTAACAATTCTAATGTGCACTCAGCAATACACAAACCACTAAGCTACCCACACACATCAACACACATCATTTGCAGATACCTACAGATTCTCTCACATGGTCTGCAGGGAGAAACTATAAGCAGGGGCTATAGTGGTTATAGTGTTTGGAATGTTATTTTAATTAATATTTAATTTATATCAAATAAATAAACAACATCGAGGAAGAACTCCTGGGTGCATACCATAATGAAACGTGCTGTGCATGCCTATTCTCATATGCCTCCTTCTGGGAGGAACCACCCAATATGGGTGTTGCTAGTAACACCATTAGTGATGGGACCAATGTTGGGTGGTATGATGATATACATTCCTTATTCGAATATTTGTTTTAACAACTTCTTGACCATGGCTACATGCCTATTACAATGGCATTTAAATTCAGCCATTTTGGCCTTTTCTAATAAGTTTAATTTTAAGAGGTATGTTAGTCTTCACATAGCATAAGTCAGGACCACACATTGCTGCAGAAATTTAAATAAAACAGTTTTTTTGTTGTATAAACGTTTAGCATCACTAATTACCCAGAAATGTAAGTGATGAACCAGAGTGAATCAAGAGGAAGTGTCATGTGTCATCTTAAATGTTGCCAATTCCATATATCTGTATCAAAATTGAGAATAAAAAAAGGTATGTGTGTACAATACAGAAGCAATTTCTATAAAATTAAAAATTACTTAATGAAATGTAATATTGTGCAATGCTTTCTCTACAGATACGATATATGTGGATCAGTTGGATGCTGTCCCCGCTCTACAAGGAGAAACAGTCATCATTCCGTGTTATATTACTTACCCTACTGGAAGTACCTTTACTGTTGAAAAAGTGACCTGGCGTACGGCAAATAATGACCTGTGTCAAGATAATGGAGAGCCTCGTGTTTGGAACTTAGAAAATAAATCAGAGCTTATAGATCAATTCTCGCTGGTGAATTTTCCAGCTAATATCTCATTACGTATAAAAAATGTGACATCTTCAAACAAGAACTGGTACTGCTGTGAAGTGACTACAGAAAGTCGTACATATATTACTCATCGTGCCACTGAGCTGGCCATTACAGGTAAATATGTAGTTTGTTGAAATTAACAGATATTCCTCAAGACAGGACGTGTGATATAACGTTAATATCAAGTGCTGTTTTAGAGGATTTTTCTTATAACGCATTTCTTGGTTAGATATATAGTTTATATCTGTTTATTACAGCTACCAGCACCCAGCAAATTACAGATGATTGTCTATTGACTATTAATCTAATTGAATACGTAATGCTTATTTTACCTAGTTGTTGGAAATTAAATCTTTACAAACTATCTTTACTATCTATCAAACTATCTTTACTATCTATCAAACTATCTTTACTATCTATCAAACTATCTTTCTCAATTCTAGTACACTCAGAAGGGGTGTCACTAGGGGGCAGCCAGAGGGGTTCATGGCCCCACCCCCACATCATGCTATGCCCTCCGTTGCACCCCTCCCAAATGCAGGCTACCTGACGTAATGTGTTTTTTTTTTTTTTTTTTTTAATAATCCCTGGTGGAGAACAATGAAATCTTAAAAAAACAAAACAAAAAAAACAAACTCATTGTGGCAGGGTTTACTGTGCAGTGGGGGCAGGGCTAAATGACTGTAGGGCATGGATAAAATCCCCAGAAGAAATCTGTCAGGGGTAACTGCTGCACTGGAAGAGGGAAGCAGGAAGGAGTCCCTGCTTCCCCAACATCCAGACTCCAGGAGATGCACTGCCTCCACTCCAGCCCATAATAGACAGAATAACTTTGTGTGTGATTACAACTGTGTGTGTGACTGTCTGCCTCTGTGTTTGACTGTCTGCCTATGTGTGACTGTAACTATGTGTGTGTGACTATCTGCATCTGTGAGTGTGGCTGTCTGCCACTGTGTGTGTAACTGCCTGCCTCTGTGGTGTGTGTGGGACTGTCTGCCTCTGTGGTGGGTGTGGGACTGTCTGCCTGTGTGTGACTATATGCCTCTGTGAGTGTTACTGTCTGTCTGTGTGTGTGTGTATGTGTGACTGTCTGCCTGTGTGTGTAACTGTCTGTCTGTGTGTGTATGTGTAACTGTCTGTCTGTGTGTGTATGTGTGACTGTCTGCCTCTGTATGTGACTGTCTGCCTCTGTGTGTGGCTGTCTCTGTTTCACTGTATTGGTGTGTGACTGTAACTGTGTGTGCGTCACACTCTGCCTGTGTGTGACTGTAAGCCTGTGTGTGTTTGATTTTTCCAACAACGATGCTGTATCAATCCCAAAGTGCCAGCATGGACGTCCCCGACGCTTCCACCTGTCATGGAGAAAGCTGTTTATGGAACCCCGAGATGGTCGGCTGTGAGCACGTCAAAGGCAGCGAGGGAGCTACAATCCTCCTGCTCTACTCCCTCCCTCGCCATCTACTGATGCCGGGAGCCGTGTGTGCGTATGTCAGTGAGTGCATGTGTTAGTTAAACAGTGTGTGAGACAATGACTGTCAGTGAGTATGTATCAGTGAAGGCATGTTGTCTGTCAGTCTGCCCATCCACAATGTCATCCCCACACTCTGCCCCCTCACAGTCACCTTCCTTCACCCTTCCCCCCACACTGTCACCTTCCCTCCCCCTATTTCCCCCACACTGTCACCTTCCTTCACCCTTCTCCCCACACTGTCACCTTCCAACACACTGCCCCCCATATATAAATATATACACACACACATATACCATATATATATACATATACATACACACAAACTCACATACATACATGTTTTATAACAGCCCCCTAGTTTTTTCCCTGACCCATCATGTGCCCCCCCCCCACCCACTAAAAATGAATCCTAGAGATGCCACTGACACTCAGTGTGTAAATATGTTTTAAAGCCATCACTCACACCAGCAATGTTTCACCTCCACGATGAGCCTTTATAAAGCCATGGGTCAATAGTGCAATGCATCAAATGAATAGTGACAATTAGACCTGCATCATATGAATATTCCCATGCAAGGCTCAACAAAGGTGACAACTGCTTTGAATCATGGGAAGGCTTTTTCCACCTTAAAATCTTATCCTGCATGGAGCACTCACATATTGTGTGAGGATAGTGTGTGTTACTTTGTACACAAGACCAAAAGGTGTTGCACCAGGATCTTCTCTCTTTTTTTCCCTTAAAACTTATATCTGTGAGGATATACATGGAGAAAACTACTAAAGAAAAGGAACAGCACGGAAGCCCTGAAGTTTAGAGCCTATTGTAATTAAAGGCTCTAAAAAATGTGAGTTTTATGCACATATACATTTTAATTGTGAAACTATATGCCACTATAATCTTTTCTCTCTATTTTTTTATCATTTTCATATGTCCAGTACTAACCCCTAGATAACAATTGAGGGGTAAGTGTATCTTAAAAGCTGCACTCACAATTGGTTAACACAGATGAAGGGACAAATCACCTAAACTGTTTCTTTCCAAATGTTCTTTGTATGTGTTCCCACTAGCCTACTGTAAGATTCTCAGTGATGTTCGTGCAAATGTAGATTCTGTCTTTCGTTTGTTAAATTTTCGTCACTGAATTTGCATTGGTCTATTGTGCTTTTTTGTATGTCTTTTGTTTTATGTAATTGTGGCACTGAGTAACATTATATTTGTCTTTGATGGGGTTGGGGGTCATATGATGGATGCACGAGGATGCACAGAACCTCTGATCATAATAATATATTAAATAGTGTAATTACAAGCCAACATGATTCATTATGTTATTGTAAAAATAGTGCTAATCAATGTGTTGTGTATAGTGAATACATAAAAATTGTCACCAATTAGATGTGGTATGATTTATTACAGCATTGCGAAATTTATTTTGGCTTGAAAGATTAAAGTATTGCAAACCTTAATTTGACTGTTTTTAGCAAGTGGAATGAGCCATTTGTTAGTATCACGGGAAAAGGGAAGCAAATTAGATGCCTTCCTCTTGGACGTCTGGCATTTTGATTTGCAAACCGACAGAAGTTAGGAGACAATTCTTTTTGCTAAGCAGTATATCCAAAAAAAAACATTAATAATAATCCAGAGATTAATAGTTGTGCCTTCTGGTAAATAAATGTAAAATGCTAAGGGCATTCCCTGCCAAAGAAATTAAAACTGTAAGTCATTTGTGGGAATGAAAAATAAAAATATAAACAAATCATTACCCATCAAAGTCTTGATTGAAGATTTTGTCTTTAATATTCTTTCTTCATTCTTAAATCACCTTTCTGCAACAAATAAAAATGAAATAAAAAATAACTGGCATTTACAAACTGCCAAATAATTTTGTCTAACAGTGTCACTTAGATATATAAGGGGTAGTGTTATCCACATAATTTATTTTATATTTTGAATGGTGGTACCTGGTAGAGAGTTGTACTAAAATTAGGTCCTCTAGGAAGGTGCCAGATACAGCCCAGAGTGACATGAGGAACCTGTATATGGTGATGGCTTGGATATCGCACACATTGGATTCCTTTCCAGTCAATATCATTAGTAGCTGTATCTAGCACCTTTCTGGAGGACCTTATTTTAAAACAGCAGGACTGTTTACCAGGCAACAGCACTGTCATATTGTTCCTAATCTGACTTTTGACTTCTCTGATCATATTCCCAGCATTACTGTGCAATATTCTATATGCTTTCCACTGATCCTACCTTGTTTCTGACATGCTTCCCCCCCCCACCCCGCATTTAAGCATTTTACTGAGTTTTATATGTACGGGGAGGATACAGAAAGGAAAAAGGAAGGGGAAGGAAGGGGACAAACAGCAGCACAATAGTGAAATACAGCACAACTAATGTTTGTACAGTCCTACAATGCATATTTTCCGAGTTGCACAGACACAACAAAATTGGTACAGAAATCTGTGGGTACCCGATATCCATGTGTCCAATAAGTTTCATGCATCCAAGAATAGTTTTGAGGAAGAGACAATAGTGGGAAAGCATTGTTCGTGTGAGCACTCTGTCAATTGCTGTAAGCAGGAGATAGTTACGGGATTTTGGTAGTTTTCTAGGCTTTCCGCTATGAGGGTTACATTAAAGATCAGTTTCATCCCTTGCCCATGCACCATGTTTGGTAGGTCTAACAGAAGGTAGGTGCGGGCAGGAAAGGTACTGGGTGTTTCAGTTTTTGTGAAATAAAGTGGTGATGCTCTTTCGGTTTAGAAGATCACACAGTGCCACCACACATGAAAGTGGAGCCTTTCATATTATCGCAGTGCCAGCATGTGGGAGAGGTGTGGAGAAAGAGCTATTTCAGTCTGCTTGGTATGATAAACCAGCAGTAAATTGTTTTATGCAAAAATGCAAATTGTAAAAGAAAAAAAAGAAAGAAATGTTTACATTTCTGTCCACTAGCATGATTATTGGGTAAAAACTTGACTTTTTTTGTGTTGGTGTGATTAGATTTAAATTACCTGGACATAAATTGGGATGGAGGGACTAGTAGCCCAGCAAGGGGAAGCTGTTTTTTTTAACCTGTTAGATGACACTTTAATGTCACAACTGGTGACAACAAGCAGCAACTAGAAAGGAGGCTTGTCTGGACCTGGTTATAACTACCATTGTTATTCTTTGTGCTTACAATCATCTAGTCTTGAAGAAGTCCACTTGTACGAATATAACACATTGTTGTGGGCACTAACCTAGGCGGCCATTTTGAACTCACAGAATTAGTTCCTGATATTACTGCCTCTGCTATTTGGTCCACACCGAATAGCAGACACCAATTCAGCTTGTCTGCTGTCATTCACATTGTCTCCGAACAATTTACTCGATCTGTATTTAATCAAGTGAGCCTGTGCAGTCAAACTCCACTCCACTCTTAGGTGGCCAATCTGATTCTGCCTACTGCTCAATTATCCTTCTCTGTGTGTATGGACTGACCCTTATTGGGTCCGTTCACTGCAGAGCATTCAAGTAACAGTGGATCCTTTATAACCTCTGCTTTATGCATTAATACTGCAATACTCTAGGTTAACTGACTGTATTTAATCTTGGCCATTGCCATCATGTTTGTTCTGCAGCCCTTGTAGGTTCGAGTTTGACTTCAGCGTGTCTGCTAAGGAGTAGCACAGTATTTGTCAGTGGTCTGGTCAGAAAGGGGTGCTAACCAGTGCAGCGACTTCTATAGGGTGGAACCCAGAATGCAAAGAAACCAATATACACACAAATCAAGGCAAAAAAGTGTATTGACATATACAAGAAAGATAGTTATATAAAATAAAACACAGATAACTGAATGTATCAGAATGGCCTCTGGATACCGGGAAGAGGCCAGCTCAGGAACACAGAATAGGAAGGACCAGATTAACATTAGTGGACTGGCAAACAAGAAGGGGTGAGTCTCAACTAAATAGGGAGATGTTAATCACAAAGTAAGGCCAGCTGGGAACAGAGAGAGATCTCAGTCTGGGTGCAGCAGCCTGCAATAGCACCACAGACAGGTAATGACACTGTGAGGTGCTGCACCAGACTGAG